TCCAAAGAATCCAGTGGAGTCTGACGGAAGCAGCGTGGCCTTTGGGTTCACCTAGATTTAGAGGGGGGGAATTTGATCTCTTATTATTCAGAATCAGGGGTGCTGTGGATATGTAAGTGCTAATGACACGCCGTATTAAGCCTTAAAACACTCTGTGTCACCCCTACGCCTTCTCACCCAGGCAGGCCCAAATGCCCATGGGGGTCCCGAGATCACGGACCCTGCGTGGAATTCTGGGGCAGAGAAGCCCGGGGCGGGATGCTGGGCTGCCTGGTGCCCCCACCCCAGCCCAGGATACGCACTTTGGAAGTCCAGCCGCAGTGACAGGACATCCTTGAAGAGGATGCCCTCCTGCCTGGCCAGCGGCCCAGCCTCCTCCTGCGGGCCTTGTTCCTCCACAGCCAGCTTGAGCATGTGCTCGTCCATCACTCTCGGCTCCACGGAGTCGTACAGCCTCTGCATTTTCCCTAAAAGACACCACATTCCTCTTCCACCGTCTGCTTCTCCCTTTGTCTGAGGACAGGGTCTGGCTGGGGTCTCTTTAAGGCACTGTGGAGCATGGTGACAGTCACTGATGCTCCGGGGCCGCCTCCTCCCACTCCCTGGCCCCACTGCACCTAGGGGCTAGTACTTTTGCACCAAGGCTGCTCCAGGCCTTTTCCAGCAACCACCTGCCCCCGTTCTGCCTGGCACCCACCTGCAGGGGTGCACCCCTCGGTCCCACAAGCACGGCTGTGACCCTACCTCCCCCCCCAGAAGACTGATGCCCATGCTGGTCTCTCTGGAGCTCAGCTGGAGCTCAGCTCCCCTTATGGCTGTGGTCGTCTTCGGCCTCTGGCTTTCCTCAGCCAGCCTCATTCGGTGTCTTGCCACCAGCTGCTGCCCAGGATCCTTGGCAGCCCCTGCCAGGCAGAGCAGCCTGCCGCTCTCCTTCCCTGAGAGACTCCCCACGTCTCCCCACAAGCTGCTCAGTGCGTGGAGATTGGTGGACACGGACCCAAGCTGGCCATTCCTATTCTCCCCCCGAGAAATGTGAACTTGGGGCAGCAGGATGAAAGTCCCATCAGAGCCGGCTGTGTGAGCCGGGGGGGAGCCGGGGGGGGGTGGGTCACCGGCTAGCCAGACATGCGGTTAAGCAGAGAGAACCAAGAGGAAGATGAGGCAGATGGACAGAGAGAAACAGAAATGGGAACCGAGGTGAAGCAGAAAATAAGACAAAAGGGCCGACAGACTGACCCAGTCTTTGCTGACTTTCCTGCCCCTCATGACCCTAACTCCATGCCCCGTGAGAGTTTCCTGTCTTCTCACATTAAATCTGATTTTACTTAAACTGAGTCCAGTAGGTTTCTGCTGCTAATGGGCCAAAAGATCTGGCTGAGACTCTGCAGGCACACGGCTGACCTCAGGATGCTGTTCCGGGCCGGACAGAGCCACAGCCCCGGGAAGCCTAGGCACCGTGACCTCATTCCCAGCCTTACCAACCGAAGAGTGAGAACATCCAGAAGGGTTGGACCCTTCTGGGAAGGCACACTCTATGGGAGGCTCCCAGATTCGGCCTCCTGAACCCTCTGGAAACTCCGTCCTCCCTCCTACTTCCCACCCGTTTCTCTCCTCCCTGCTGGCTTCACCATCTACTGTTGCCTTCTTGGTCCCCGACGCCCAGGCCTCTTCCCTGATGCTGGGCAGTCCCTGTATTATTCCACTGAGCGCTGCTGGA